GCCAATTGGAACATGTGGGTGGAGTTTGATCAGGCCAAAGTTTGATTGGAGGTTGACTGAGATAAATGAAGATAGCCAGCATCCCATCTCTCTCTTGCTCCCTGGTGATCCACCTAGTGTGCTGCTGCTTTAGCTAGTTCTCTGTCTCAACCTGTGAGCTACACTCCCTGTGGGCCAGAGCTTGAGACCTGCTTTGCCATGCTACTGGTGTGTACATTGCTTGAGCTTTAGGCTGGTGGATCCTGTTGCAGTGCTTTGAGATCCAATAAGGGACTGCTTCAATAAGAGCGACTGACTGTTGGTGACCCACCCTGCTGTCTACTTCCTTGACCTTGGACCCGGCAGCCCACATGAGTTAAAGGACTTCCAGTATATTAACTGTTCCATGAAAGTGAATTGAACTGAGCCGTCTGTACTGCTGTGTGGATTAATTAGCTGTTATATTCCTTCTTGCTGTATAAACCTATCATATATAGATAGATAGATATAATCATAAGTTCTCAACTTTCCTAATGCCGCTACCCTCATGTTGTGGTGACACCCCAACCATAAAAATATCTTCATTGCTACTTTATAACTGTACTTTTGCTACTGTTATGAATTGTAATGTAAATCTCTGATATGCATGATGTATTTTCATTGTTACAAATTGAACATAATTAAACATAATTAAAGCATAGTGATTAATCACAAAACAATATGTAATCATATATTGTGAAATATTTATGTGTTTCCCAATGGTCTTAAGTGACCCCTGTGAAAGGGTCAAAGGGTTCTCGACCCACAGGTTGAGAACCACTGCTCTAGAGAACCCTCCCTAACACAGCTTTGTAACTTTAGGTTAAATCATTAAGAAACATCAACTCCTGGGACACCTTGGTGAGAGCGGAGGGAAATGTGAGAAATAAATTCCCCCCACATGCTTGAAGAAAAAAAAAAAAGAAACATCAACTCTGCAGTAAAAGCTAATTTCCAAAGCCAGTCAGCATTTGATGGTAGTACTTAAAGCCAGTTTTTCCTGTCACCAAAATCAACTCTCAGCCGAGTTTAAAAATCACAATAAAAAAAATCACAATAAAACATTATTTAAGTCATCAAACTGCTGTGTGTAGGGCAAGTCAGGCAATTCAGCTTCTATTTCTAACAAAAACTCACAGAACTGATGGTATTTAAGTCCATGAAAGTGGTCAGAGTTCACTGCTGATTCTTCTACCCTGTTTCCCCGAAAATAAGACAGGGTCTTATATTAATTTTTGCTCCCAAAGATGTGCTAGGTCTTATTTTCAGGTACATATTTATTGCTTTATTAAAAGAGACCTCGCACTTCCTATCTGCTCCAGCTGCGCAGCGGCCAACAGTGAGCTGCGTGGCAGCGCCTGCCACTACGGTCCATAGTCCAGAGTTACTGTAGCTTTGGGCGGCCTTATTTTTGAGGAGGTCTTATTTTCGGGAGATACCTTATATTTCAGTGAGAGGCAAAACTGTAAGTAGGTCTTATTTTCGGGGGATGTCTTACTTTTGGGGAAACAGGGTAGCTCAGGGTGCATGATGGTTACAGACCTTTTACACAAAACACCGACTGATGAATTACGCAATGAATGATGCAGGCTGTATGGACATACCTTACAGTTTCACAAGTTTGGGGAATTTGTGCAACAAGGGCTTTTATGCTCTACAGAAATTTTTATACATCAGTTGAGGTTGTACTGAATTAGTGCTTTCTCAACGTCTTTGAAATAGTCTCGTCTCTAGTTATTCCACATGACATTTTCACAGAGCAGGTTTTCCTGTGATTTCTAGCTCTGTTGACTCCTTCATAAACAATCTCTACTTAGCAGTAAGATACCTGTGGCCTCAAGAGCCAAGAAAAACCATTCAAAAGCACTTACCTGGTTTTTTTCAAAGAACTGCTGATGCTTCTCCCAGTGTTCTCATTTCTAAGCAACTTCTGTACCCACCAGAAGGCTAATTGTCTTCTGCATACAGCAAATTCTTCAATTCATTCACTCTTAGTAAATGGCTTTCCTTGTTTTGCTAACAAACAAGTGTTACTAAGATTGCAGTCTCATTTTGGTCAAGAGATTCGGCTGTGATAAGAAAGTCTATTTTAAATTTTCTAGTTTTTCTGACTGTTGCGTTTCTGAATTAAGAATCTTGTGAGTGCCTAATCTGGGAACCAAACCAAACCAAATTTGCCATCGAGTTGGCTCTGATTCATAGACCTATTGGACAGGATGGAACTGCCCCCCTAGGGTTTCCAAAGCGACACAAAATGGCCAAATCTTTCTGCCCCAAGGTGGCTGGTGGATGCAAACCACCAACCTCTTCAGTTATCTGTTGAATACTTTAACCACTGCACCACCAGGGCTCCTTTAAACTGGTAAAGTCGACCTATGTTATATCCTCTTAGCACTGACCAGGTGGAGCTGTACTAACTGTAAGGTTGGCAGAAGGTCAAAGCCACCGGCTGCTCTAAGGGAGATTAGACGATCTACTCCCATTAAAATTGACTGCCTCGGAAACTGTCCTAAAGGGTGGCAGCGTCAGAATTGACTTGGTGGCAGTGAATATAGAATAGCATAATAAACAACACTCTACCATCTGTTTTTAACAAGGACTCATAGCCCACTGGGTCTCAAAATGAATGATGTCTATTCTACTTTTCTCTTCTTTGTCTTGAAGTGATGGGTATACCCTAGTTAAAACACAAACCACAGCACTGGTACAGTGATGCACAGCACTGAAAACATCATTGAGTGGTGACTGCCTCCCTGAGATTTATAGTCTGCTGAGCAATTCCAGTCGATGAGTGGGGCACATATCCCGGAGTTTTTGTTGTACCAATTCAGTTCTGCCATTATAGTCCAAAAGTAGCAAAGGACTGTTTTGTGATCCAACTTTATCTATGGGCACTGAAAATTTATATGCTTTCTGTGTGTTACAAAAGATTATTGACTTTATCCCCCCAGCCATTTAAAAATATAAAAACCATTTTTTGCTCACTCTGGATTTTGCCCTGTGGTTTGCCAACCTCTGCTTGAAGAGAAGGATTTCATGATAAAACCCAAACCAAACTAGTTAACTTTGAGTGGGTTCCAGCTCATGGAGAGCCTATGTGCGTTAGAGCGGAAATCCACTCCATAAGGTTTTCTTTCCTCTCTTCCAAAACATTTTGCTGTTGTTTAGAATATACACTGCAAAACGTATACCAAATGAACCATTTGTACATACGTGTACAATTTAGTGACATTGGCCATATTCCTTGGATTAATAAAAAATTTATTCTTTGGATTGTGCAACCATTTTCACCCTCCTATGGAATTATTTCTCCCCTAGTAACATAAACTCACTGCCCACCAAGGTTCTTATCTAATCGTTAAGGTTGTTGTCAATTTGATTCCATATACTGTTCTTAATAGAACATAATGCAGAAGGCAGATCCTTTTTTTAATTTAAATCATTTTATTGGGGGCTCGTACAACTCTTATCACAATCCATACATCCATCCATTGTATGTCAAGCTCATTTGCATATTCGTTACCATCATCATTCTCAAAACATTTGCTTTCTACTGGAGCTCCTCGTTTTTCCCCCTCCCTCCCCACTCCCCAATGAACCCTTGATAATTTATAAATTATTATTTTGTCATATCTGCCCTTTAAAAAAAAACTAGGTAAGCAGAACTACGGTTTGTTTCAACAAAACTTCAGGGAATGCTTTTGGTTTAAGTCTTAAAGATCATCTTAGGGCAATAGTTTGGGGGTTCATGCAACCCTCTGGTGGTCATGAGAATTTATAATTCTGTTCTATCCCCACCCCCCACCCCTTTTGATCAGGATTCTTCTACGAATCTTTGCTGAAAAAGCACCTTAAGTTTTCAGTAATTGATTTCGTTTCAAATATGTCACCAAGCCTGTTTTGGGAGGTGCCTCTAGGTGGAAGCTCCAGTTAGCACGTTAACTGTTCCTCACCCAGGCGCTGTGCGCAAAAGGAAAGGCCTACGACCCACCCATGTGATCGATCATCAGCCCTTGGAGGCTTCTTTAGCGGTTCTCCCCAAAATGTCACACTTCAAGCTAACCGGACAGGGTCGAGTTGGGGCAGAGGACCACACAAGGTCGGGGCTATTGGAAAAGACCATTGGGCACTGAGCAGGCTCAGTGTGTAGGAAAGAATGTGCAGATACATTCCAAATGCTTTTGGAGAGACTAGGAGGGCCGGAAGTCAAAGAAGCATCAGCTTCAGAACCAGTTTCAAACTATGAGCCTTGTTTCACGGTCAATTAAGCGTTGTCTCTCAGAATATCAATAACCCCTTGTTTGCTTGCTCAGCCCCCCCATAGTTCATGATAGAGTCTTTCTTGAGCACCCATCTCTGCCTCTGACAGGTGAGTGGCCAGTTGGGCCTTGTGCGCGCGCTGTCTGGTTCTTTTCGGGAACATCACTTTGACAGGGGAAGGTGCACTGGTGTGGACTGGAGCGGAGGGGTGGGGGTAGGGGCGCAAGGTGCCTGCCGAAACCACACTATCTGCCCCAGGGCCAGGTCTGTAAGGGTCCTGGGGTGGCCACCACCATCAGCCCCACACCTTGGTGCCACTGGGTGTGTGTGGCTCCCGGCAGGGCTGGGTGGACCGCATGCAGACCTTGCAGCCTCCGTCGGGGCGTCGCGGTGACGCCGCCCAGCAGCGCGGCCCTGGACTCCGGGCGGTGACCCTGTGCTGTGCTCACAAACCCCAGGGGGTGCGCGCCTCCGAGGGTCCCCCGGGGCGGGTCTCCGCTGGCGCGGGCTCTGCGCTCGGCCGCAGGCGTCCGGTGGGAGGAGCTAGTCGGGCCGTGGGCGGGGCTGGGAGGAGCCCGGGCGGCGGGAGCGGCGGCGGCTGCGAGCGTCCTGGGAGCGGCGTGGGGGTCGCCGCGGGGGAAGCCGGCGCCGACGGGCGCAGCTAGCCCTGGACGCACGGATGCACCCACGGACACGGTCTGTGCCCATGAACGGGGAGCGCGCGGGCTCGGAGACGACGCTCCGGGAACCCCCGCCCGGTCGGGAAGGAGGCGAAGAGCGGCTGGCCGTGCTGTCTCTTTAAGACCATGCCCCGGCTAACCTGGACGGTGAGTACGGATCTTGGCCCCCGCCCCGGGTCCCGGAGGAATCCCGCGGAGCGATGGTCACTCAGGAAGCCAGGTCTGGATAGGTGAATGAGAGTTCAAGTCAATGGGCATGGAATTAGGGGAAATTATGAATGGGGGGTGGCTCCCCATTTTGAGCCCAACACCCCCCCAGGCACCTTTAAAATTTTTAACAGGGCTCCTGGAGGGGCAGTGAGACTAAGCGAGGCCAGGATCCAAAGGGGCGGACTGGCCCCCACCGGGCTTCAGCCTCTGCTCAGCCCAGCCCTTCCTGAATCTCGGTAAGCCCCAGGGTTTGGGAACTAGTGGGTCCAAAGCAGGCCGGTTTGGGGGTCTGCCGGTGGGTGGGGCTGAGGCAGGCATATCCAGGAAAGCAGCGTCCATGGCAATCAGTTTTCACTTGCTGAAGGTCCTCTCCCAGCTGGTGCTGGAGATTGTGGTGGCAAGAGAAACTGTCCAGGGTACGTGCCATACTTGCCAAATCCTGGACGTGCCTTTGGTGGGGAGACAGAAGAACCGGCTACTTGTTCATCCGTTTCCTGTGCCTACTTCTGGACCAGCAATGGACGAGCCATCTCGCAGGCCCCTCTGAAGGCAGAGAATCAAGCAGGTGGCTGCCAGCACTGTACCTCCCTAGTGCCCTCTGGGGTGTGCTCACTGGGAGAGGCCCCGCGGTTTGATGACACAGAGTGAGCAGAATGAGGATTGTGAAGTCAGAGAGGAAATGGGATAGTATAGCCGGGCCTGGGGCTGGTTGCCGGGGGACAGGACACACCCCGGAAGCTCCAGTGCCCTTCTGCCTGTAGAAGGGAGCCTCTGGGATCGGCAGGGCATAGCTGGTGTTCATGGTGGACTGATGAGTTGGGTGAGGCCACCCTAGCACGAGGTTCCCCCCTCCCCAACCTGTCCAGGCATGAAAACAGCCCCGTCTCCACCTTCTGAAGGCGTAAACGCACCCACGTCATGTGGAAGGAAAGCAGTAGAGAGCCTGGGTGCCATGCTTGCTGTCCCCCTTTCCTTCCAAACCTTCTCCTGGGCAGCCCAATACGTACTGCCCGGCCCAGCTCTGTGAGCTGCCTGGCCCTCCTGCATAGTTGCCACCCAGGATTCGGGGTGGCAGGGCTCTGGGGGAATGTGAGCCCCGGAGAGCGGACGCCTCCAGAAGACCACCACTGACCCTCACCCTCCTACCCCTCCAGATGCAGAGTCCTCCATGGCTGTGATCAGCCTGCTGTTCTTGGCAGTGCTCTATGTTGTTCACCACCCCTTGATGGTCAGTGACCGGATGGACCTGGACACGCTAGCCAGAAGCCGGCAGCTGGAGAAGCGGATGAGTGAGGAGATGCGCCAATTAGAGAAAGAGTTTGAAGAACGAAAGCGAGCCGCTGAGCAGAAGCAGAAGGCAGAGAACTTGTGGCGGGGAGAGCCAGCCAGTGACCAGTTAGTGCTGGGGGAGAAAGGCCTGGGGTGGCAGTTCCAGGCCGATGGTCAAGAGGGGCCTCTGGGCTGGCTGCTGGGGAACCTGTGGAATGCTGGCCTCTTCTGCCTCTTTCTCCTCTTTGAGCTCCTGCGGCAGAACATGCAGCATGAGCCGGCCTTTGATTCCAGCAGTGACGAGGAGGAGGCGGAAGTCCGGGTGGTGCCCGTCACTTCCTGCAGCTGGTTCACTGACTTCCCCTCACGGGAGGCCCTGGCCGACTTCTATGAACACTACGTCCAGAATGCCATCCAGGACCTGCCCAGCACCTGTGAGTTTGTGGAGAGCTTTGTGGACGACCTGGTTGAGGCCTGTCGGATCCTCAGCCACCGGGAGGCTCACCTACAGTTCGAAGACTGCCTGGGCCTCGGGGCTGCCTTTGAGAAGTGGGGAACCCTCCACGAGACCCAGACATTCCACGTGCTGGTGCCCGTCACCCCCCCGCAGGGCTCCATTTTCGTCCTGGAGATGCAGAATCAGGCCCTAGGCCGCCGCTGTGGCTGCGTGCTGGTGGAGCTGGAGTGCGTGTGCAGGTGCGAGAAGCTCCTGGGGGACGTGCTGTGCCTGGTGCACCGCAGCAACAAGGACCACGCCACGGTGCCAGGGACAAGTAACAGTGCCATTAGGGCGGCGCTCTGCACCGGCTCCCATCTGGATGTGCACAAGACTGTGCAGTGGTTCCGGGGCATGGTGAGCAAGGCCTGGGCCCTTGTGGCCCACAAGTATGACTTCAAGCTCAGCCTTCCGCCCTCGACCACCTCCTGCAAGCTCAGGCTGGACTACCGCTCGGGCCGCTTTCTCTCCATCAGCTTGGTCCTGGGGGTGCAGCGGGAAGACACGTTGGTCTACCTGGTGAGCCAGGCCCCGGAGCAGGAACAGCTCACCAGTGTTTACTGGCCGGAGTCCTTGGCAGCCTGCGAGCACTTGTTCCTGAAGCTGGTCGGGCGCTTTGCTCCGGAGGACACCTGTCACCTCAAGTGCCTCCAGATCATTTTAACTCTCCGCGACCTCCAGAACCTACCCGACGGGGCATCCTGCCCCATCCTGACCCCTTATCACTTCAAAACAGCCTTCATGCACCTGTTGCTAAGGCTGCCCCTGACAGACTGGAAGCACCACATGCTGTCCCAGCGGCTCCAGGACCTCCTCTGGTTCTTGGGCCGGGGCCTCCAGCAGAGGTCCCTCCACCATTTCCTCATTGGCAACACCTCCCTGCCCCTGACCATCCCGATCCCTAAGACATTTCGGAATGCGGAGCCTGTCAACCTCTTCCAACACCTGGTGCTAAATCCCGTGGCACACTCGCAGGCCGTGGAAGAGTTCCACAACCTCCTCCTGCAGGTGAAGACCCTGCCTTGTGTTCCGGGGGCTGGGGTCCATTAACCTAAAGGCTATTAAAGAAGGGGGAGAGGCGCGTCTGCTTCCTCTGGCGGCCGGAGACTTCCTCTTCCAGACATCTCCGGCATGTAGGTGGTCCCCTTGCGGGTGGGTAGAGGCGATCATAGATGAAGGTTGTGGGGGAGGGGGGGAGTCTTCCGGTTGTCTTGAGGATGGGGTGAGCGGTGTGCAGGGCCTGTTTTAGGGTTGGTGGTTCTGAGCTTTTCTTCTTCTGACTGACCTTTCATCATGACCCCAAGAGGGTCTAGGGGAAACATACTCCCGGGGGGCTCTGCCCGCTGCAGAGCCCAGACCCAGAGGGTGGTGTGTCTCAACACTGGACGTGAAAGAGGACCCCTCCCTTTCCCCTTAGGCCTGTTTGTAAACTGGGTGCCTCGTTGAACCGTGAGCTTGATGCTCATCAAAGTTGCCGGTACTTCGTGTCCTCCCAACTCAGATGCTGCGATGACAACTTCCTGTATTTTAGGCTCCCGACTTTTCACTTTTTAAAAAGACGACAAGATGTTTAGTTTCCATTTTCTTAATTTAGCTCCATTTTCCCATGGCTATTTTTGTACCTCGGAGAAACACTCCCCAAAACTACCCAAATCATTTCTTAGCATTGCTTTAAAAACAATTCTTAAGGCAAGTGTTCACTGCTCCCGGAACTGAGAGGGTGTGTTTATTCTAAGAGCCAACATCTGACCACCTTTATGCCGTTAGCCATCTTTTGTAGGGGGTGGGGGGCGGGAAGCCTCAGAAACCACAGGGAGCTCTACTCTGCCCTCTAGGGTCACTGGGACTGGGAAGGAGCTTCGTTTTTTGTCTGGTTTGCTGAGTGGGTTACTCACTGGGCTGCTAACTGAAACGGTGGTGGTGTGTGAACCTCCGTCCCCCTTCCCAGGGAGGAAGCTGAGGCCGTCGGCTTCTTTAAAGATCTACAGCTTCAGAAGCCCTCCGGAGCAGTTCCTGTAGGCTCACTGTGTATCAGAATCAACTCCACCACCGTGGGTGGGTTGAAGCTGTACAACAAACGATTCTTTTTTTTTCTTCCTAAGGGGGAACCACTTGCTTGATAAAGAAGCGCTTAGCCACTACCCGTGGCTGTGCCTTTTCTGTTCTGGTAGTGCCTTCATCTTCCCTTCTCTGAAAAGACCAATGGGTGACTGGAACCCTGTCGTTTTGAGAATCGGGCTCATCATGGTCCAGGCTAGGTGCCAGGGTTGGCCAGGAAGGGACTATGAAGCGGCTCAGCTCTACAAAGGAGCGATCCTAGAGATTGGGACTGGGGTGTTTTTCTCTTTTCAAAACCTCGGGCATCCTGAGGAGGAGTGTTAAGCAACTTTAGGGGTGGGTGTGGTTGTTTGGGAAACACTGGTGCTGCTGCTACCCAATAGTGACAGGAAGACCTGCTGGGGAGGAGGACCTGGCCGTGGCATCCAGCCTGACCTCAGTGGGGTCAGATCTGGCCTGTTCAGACTTCAGGCCTGCAATCCATACTTCTCCATGCAAAACCCACTGCCTTCAAGATGACTGGGACTCATTGGACAGATTAGAATTGCTCCCTAGGGTTTCCAAGACTGCCGACCTTTATGGGACCAGGCGGCTTCATCTCCCTCAGAGTGGCTGAGGGATTTGAATCGCTGACCTTGTGATTAGTAGCTGGATGTGTAATCCACTACGCCCCATGGTTCCTTTCCCTACCACATTCTCACTGTCAGGAGGCGATGCAGATTCACAGTGACCCTATAGGACAGGGTAGAACTGTCCCTGTGGGTTTCTGAGACTAACTCTTTATGGGAGTAGAAAGCCTCATCTTTCTCCCAAGGAGCGGCTGGTGGTTTTGAACTGCTGGCCTTACAGTTAGCAGCCCAACACACCAACCCTAATGCACCACCAGGGCTCGCTCCTAGCAAAGATAAGTTCCTGGAAACTGATGCTAGTCCTCAGGGGTTATGGCTGTGCCTGCCGTCCCATCCACTGGGTACTGCTTTCAAATTAAGGGAGTGGTCCTCACAGCGGTCGCCTGCTTCATAACAGTAGCAAAATTACAGTTATGAAGTAGCAATGAAGCTAATTTTATGGTTGGGGGGGTCACCACAACATGAGCTGTATCAAAGGGTCACATCATTAGGAAGGTTGAGAACCACTGCGTTAAGGTGTGACGGGGGTGGGAATTTGGTGTTTACAAAACCCCCCATCTACTTATTTTTGAGAAAATAACGTTGCTGGTGTTTTAGTTTCAGATCAATAAAGAAAGCTGTTCCCTGCCACCCCTAAAAGACCCACATGTGTGCCCGTCCCCAAGAAGTTCAGGTTACTCTGAGTAGCTTTATGCAGTCGATCCTGAACCGGTTGGCCTTGTGGCTTCCCAATGGCATGGCCAGTGGGCAGGAGTGAACTGTGAAGGTTGGTGAGGAATATAAGGGTTACCTGGTGTCCAAACCAAATGATCTGAGAGGCTACACACACAAGCATCAGCTCTGTAAGAGCGAAGTTTCCTTGGCTAGAGAGAGGGGCAGTACCATGTTCCAGAACTGTGCGGTGGTTTCTAGTCTCAGGAGCCCAGAAGGAAAATGTTATTGAGAAGACAACTAGGGAACAGTCAACAAGTGTGGGCGTGGCTGCGGGTGAAAGAAAGAGTAGGGGTGGGGAACAAGTAGTATTGGGAAGAACAGAGCTACAGTGTTCTGGGATCATGCTTACAAAGAGAGAGAAAACTCCAGATACTTGGGGAGCTAAGCTTTATTCCAAAACAAACCTGGCTGGCACCCAGGATGTGCCAACAATGATGGCAATGAGACTACTTGGCCCACTGCCAATGGGGGTGTTTCGCATCTGGTAATTCATTTACTCATACTACCAAGCTCATGAAATGGACACTTTATCATCGCCAGTTAACAGACGAGGAAACATAACACAGAGAGGGAATGAGACTCTTTCAAGGTCGCACGGTAAATGGCAGAGCCATGGGAAGATAGTAGGCTAGCAACCTTTCAAACTGGTCTTGGGGACAAAATGAAGGGGTTAAAGTGCTTTGAAAAATCCCCACAGTATGATGTTAATTTAAAGATGAAGGGTGGTATGTTAACTGCTTGGAAATTCGAGAAGACAGACTTGTTGGTTCTTCGCCCAGTCTTTGGGAGGTCAGGAATTTGATATCACACACAAAAATTACAGGCATTTGCTCAGAGGCCAAAACACATGCAAAGCCATTCCAATGAGGAGCCCATTGATCCTCACAGGAACAATATGGGTTATATTATTAACTATAAGTCAGTGGCAGGCTGAATGGTCTGGGGACATTGGAAATCAAAGATTGCTGTCCAGGTAACCACCTGATAACACAATTTCTCTCCTAAAGAGGATGTTTCCAGTTTAGACTGGGGAAGAATTCCCAGTGAGAGGAGTAAGGTGGAGGAGGGAATGATCCAGGGATGGCTTTTCTGGCAGACGTGAGTGGGGGAGTGGATCCCCCCTCCCCCTACTTTATTTTTGCACAGAGGAATTGTGCTTTGCATACCACGGATAAATCGTTCAACCTTTTGGCATTCTCGGAAGCTCTAGCCCAAGACACAAAGATGGCATTCAGAGGTGAAAGAGCTGCCTGCACTGGGCGGGCCTGGCTTATTGAGATGCGGGGGGTGGGGTGTGTGTGTG